TATACTTAGAAAACCCTAAAGACTCAGCAAGAAAACTATTGGACGTAGTTGACCAATTCAGCAAAGTAGCAGGATACAAGATCAACATACAAAAATCAGGTTTTCAGATTCTACCACTCACAGGGGAAGAGATTGCCTATCTTGAAATGATGAGCGGAGATTGCCCGATTGATGGGAATCCTTCATGGCCTTTTATTTTTTAATTTTTTTTTATTTTATTCTTTTTTGTATATGTGTACTGTCAAATCAGATCTGGCTGGTACAGGAGGGGATTGTCCCTCCTTCTGCAGCAGAGCATCTGGTGGATTCGCTTAATGGCCTTTTAAAGAAAATAACCACATTTGCATTTCCTTTTTGTTCTTTCTTTCTTTAGAGATTTGCCTTCTGACCAAGGGACGCCGCACGGCCAGTGTCCGAGCCGATACATATTGTCGTCTTTATTCCCTGTCGGTGGACAACTTCAATGAGGTCCTGGAGGAGTATCCGATGATGAGGAGAGCTTTTGAGACCGTGGCCATTGACCGATTAGATCGAATAGGTACTCTTTAGTTTTTCTATCTGCTTCCTGGACAGTTCCACTCAGTCTAGTGCACTAATACAAGTATTTGGTCACACACCCCACCTGCTACTTCGTCATTCACTCACTAAGTAGCGTAGAATAAGAGAGAAAGTTTTAGCCATAGATCTATAAATCCTGCCTAAGGATTTCTCTAACCTTATCTTCTAAATATTCTGGATCTGTTTTTGCTAGCTACGCAATCCGATTTCCCCAGGGATGCCAATACAATTTGACTATTCAGGTAAAAGACAACAGTCAAAAACTCTAGATAGAATTATTATAGAGTTAAAAATACAATAGTGTGAGTCTGTGTTACAAGTCAGATTTTATCCCAAGATAGTTTGTTTTTTCTTTTACATCTTATCTTTACATTAAAAGCTGAAAATGTGTTCACTTTAAAATGGCCTTAGTAGGAACTTAACTGAAATATTTGTAATACAGACTCAAAAAGAAAAGGCCTTCTTAGAAGTGCCCTACATAGATATAGATGCTTTACCTTATAAACATGAATGTATATGTTATGTATATACATTTATGTGTGTACGTATGAACTTAATTAGTTAACACTAGTTTGAGATTTGAATAGTTACCATAGTAAAGTTAAGACGAGGGTAACTGACTTCTCGGTATACTCTAGAGGATTCTGATATGCTGGTATGCAGTGTGTGTTAATTCTCCACACTCAAACCATCCTGCTCTACCCTCCCAACTGTGCACCTTTCTTTCTGATTAACTCTGCAGAACCTTTGTCATTCAAGTTAGACTCCTTTGTTCCCCTGTAGAAACCTTCTCTGACAGTCTGTCCCCTAGTAAAGTATTCTGGCTCTGTTGTTCATAATCCTGTGAAGCCCCCAATGTGGCATTGCCTTTATTATTATGATTTCTCCAGAGCCACTAAGCTGTCAAAATGCAGAGATTGTCTCTCCTCACCATTACGTTGACAGCAACTAACATGGTGCTTGAGCAGCCAGTGTTTCTTTCTGTGGGACATGGGTTCATCGTGAGTCGGAACCTACTCGCATGCACCTGGCAGCACCGTACAATGGTTGTGTGCTAAACACGGGGTAAATAAATGAGCTCAAAGGGTTAGTTTCACAAGAGAGGAAAGAAACCGTTACCTCTGCAGCTTCTTATTAAAGGTAAGAACTTCTGATCTTTTTTTTTTTTTTTTGTCGTATCAGTGCTTTTTGTTTTATTTTCTAGAGATTATAGTTTTTTCCTTCCCTCTATGTTAATAGGAAGACTATCTGTTGTTGTTGTTGTTGTGTACCATCGAGTAGAACTGACTCAGAGCTGACCCTCCAGTGGGTTTCAGAGACAGGAAATTACACAGGAGACCATTGTCCATCTTCCTCCAAAGCAGCTGGTGGATTCGAACCATGGATCTTTGCGTTGACAGTGCAATCCTTTCCCACCAAGCCACCAGGAAATCACTGAGGAAGACTTCATTAAAGTCTGAAAATAGTTTAAATAGTCAGGAGAATAAAAAAAAATTTGGCTATTTCTCTCTAAGAAGACATCACAGATAGGTTAGAAATGTATGTTGCCATCCCCGATAAGGCAGAGTTTGTATACAGAGACAAAAAAAGGTGGGTAATTCTGAAAGTATCCTCACCTGGCTTGAAAATAGCTTTTCTGTTCTTTGTAGGCGAGTGTTCCTTTTGGACATGAGGACTCACTTCAGAGCATGTGAGTTTTTCCTGAGGTCCGTGAGGCAGCTTTAGAAAAAGCCTGATACGGTGATCTTTTTAAGTAGAACCTATTAGATGCAGCTGTACTTCCATCGAAGCAACTAGTTTAGTTTTTATAACAAAGCTTTCGCCGTATAATTTGAAGTCAGTAATACCGGCACTCTAATTAGTTCGTGAGCTGAGTTACATCGTTCGTATGGACTGACACAGAGACAGTGCCTCTCTGGGTTCGAATCCACTCGCTGCTCGGCCGGGAGATGGACAGTTGGCTCTCGTGACACTTACAGCCATCAAGAGACCCATGAGAGGGTCACCTAGGAGGCATTCGCAGCCCACAGCAGTGAGTTGAGCTTAACCGTTAGTAAGGACCAAGCATTTTCACGTTTGACCCTTACATCACTGCATGAAAAGTTAAATTATCTTTCCCAAAGTCATAGACAATCAGAGCTTAAAATGTAAACTATTAACATGATCACCTAAAAAAAATGTTCTCAGTTTTGCAATTATTGCTTATAACTTTCTCTAATGCTGTAGTTAGTGAAGGGTGTATGCTAAGTAAGTATTTATGTTTCTTTTTATGTTTTAATGAAAGTTTAAAGACTTTGGATTTCCATTCATTCATTGTTGCACATTTTCCTCCCTTCCCACCGCTCCCCCCAGTTTACTTTTCTCTTTGAAAAGTAAAAAAAAAAAAAAATTCAAAAAATTGTTCTTTCATTGTTATACAATACCCTCCTTCCCCCAGTACCCTCCATCATGCAGCTTTCATTCGGGACTCCTGTCAAGATAATAATACCTAATCATATATTCCTCCTACACAGTTCTCTACCTCATCTGTTTCAATGCAGTATACATCATTTATCTCCTCTTAGCTTCCCTCCGCCCTGACATCAGTCCTGTTTTACAACAGTGGCACTATACAGTATTTGTCCCTTTGTGACTGAGATATTTCACTCAGCATAATGTCCTCCAGGGTCACCCATTTTGAATAATATTGCATGGATTCTTTGTTTTCCAATGCAGCGTAGTATTCCATTGTGTGAAATACCACAGCTTCTCTATCCATTCATTGGATTGTTTCCAGCTCTTTGCTATTGTGAACAAAGCCGTGATAAACATGAGTGTGCCTATATCTACTTGGGTGGCGGTTATAGGTTTTTTTAGGATATATTCCCAGTAGTGGAATTGCTGGGTCAAATTGTATTCCCATTTCCATCTTTTTGAGAAAGTTCCATACCGCCTTCCACAGTGGCTGCACCAAGCATTTGTATTTCTAAGTCATGTAGGAGGAGCTTTGTTCCTTGAGAAATTAGGACACCAGTGGAAGTAAAAAAAAAAACAAAAAAACCTCCCACCTTTCTTAGTAGTAAGTGAAATTATTTCCATTTTTAAAATGTATTATTACTTTAGATATAACTCTTTATTTAGCAATAGGTGGTTATGGTGTAAAATTGAGTGAGAGCTGGCCCACAGCTGACCCTCCAACAGGTTTTCAGAAGCAGTAAATTACATGAGTGGAGACTGCCTGTCTTTCTCCTGTGGAGCAGCTAATGGGTTCGAGCCCAGCACCTCTGCATTGGTAGGCCAATTCCTTACCACTAATCTACCACACCTCCCAGTATTCACAATATAGTATGACCATTTCACTTATCTTATCCATCTGTGTACTGTTGCAATGCTAGTCTAGAAAAATAACGGACTTTCCCATCTTCCTTAAATCTGCTATTGACTTGGATAGTTATTCTGCTAGAGAAAGGCAGTTTACGGCAAACTATATTGTCAAGATGATGCATGAAGGAGAGCTTAAACACCTTGAAGCCCCAGAGTGGGCTCAGAACCACCCCCACATACATTCTAGGATGCTTGGTCGGCAGAGCAGTGTTTCAGAAAAGCGAAGATCAGGAAGCAGTCATACTCCACCAGGCTGCACATGCGAGTCGTCTGGATGGAGAACGTGCTCACAGATGACCAAACTCTGAGTCTTGTGTCTCATGGTTCTCACTCAGTGGAGGGGACACGTACAAGTGCCAGTATCTCTTAAAGCTACAGAGGTGAAGCCATCACGCAGCCAGGGTTGAAAAGTACTGATATGGAAGCATGGCCCCACCACTCCCAAACTCTCAGGTGTGGGCATCACAGAGGGGATCTTAGGAAAATGGGGCTTCAGGGTGAGGGAAGCGGCAAAGATCCCAGGCTCTGTAGGAGTTGTAGGTTCATGACCCATGATGAAGAGCCATGATCAGATGCAGCGATTCCCCTTCCATCCCTTTACTTGCTAGTGATACCATTTGGGGTCTAGGTCTTGCTCTCCTCTCTTTTGCGGTAAACTGGGATTTATAAATAGACACTCTCATAGAGTTGAGCAGTAACTAAAACCATCAATGTATAAGCCTTGCATATGGTGACTGTCACAGAGTGAGTGCTCAGATACGGGCTTCCTTTGTCTCCGTGTCCTTTATGATAAGGTGTCTTGAATGCATGTCTAGACTGATGGGTCTAGGACCATCCTGGTTTAAAACCCCTTTCTCCCTCTCCTGGTGAAGCTAGCCCTTGGCTCAAGGATGTCTGCTTTTCCATTAAAGTAGCCCTTTGCCCTGTTTCAGACTTTGCAGGCGTTGTCTTTGCCCTGGGCAGACAGGAGTGGCTGGAGTGAGTAGAAGGTGTAGGATCTTCCTGAAGCAGCCACACTTCTTTTTCAGGGGTCTGTCCCTCTGGGAGATTTTCTCGGTGATGTGTGGTATTGTTAAGTGCCCTTGAGTTGTAGGCGACTCATAGTGACCCTATGAACAAAGGTCCTGGACACCTGTATAACTTTCGTCCTCTCTCCAGGTTCATAGGGTTTCTAGAGGCAAGAGATTACGGAAGTGGATGCCACTCCTGCTTCCAAGCTTGTGTTAATCGGGAAGCTCCACCAAACACTGTCCACCATGGGTGACCATTATCGCATTTGACACATCAGTGCCCCAGTGTTCAGCATCACAGCAACCTTTCTCTGATGTGTAGACTTTCCAATTGTCTGTCTGTCTTTTGCTGACAGGAAAGAAGAACTCGATTCTTCTCCAAAAGTTCCAGAAGGACCTGAACACAGGCGTGTTCAACAACCAGGAGAACGAGATCCTGAAGCAGATTGTGAAGCATGACCGGGAGATGGTGCAGGCCATCGCCCCCATCAGTTACCCCCAGATGGCAGCCCTCAACGTCGTCGCCTCCTCCATCACCACCCCCACGTGCCGGGCCAGGACCCAGTCTCCACCGGTGTACACAGCGGCCAGCCTGTCCCCCAGCAACCTGCACTCGCCCAGCCCCAGCACACAGACCCCGCAGGCCTCAGCCGTCCTGTCGCCCTGCTCCTACACCACGGCCGTGTGCAGCCCCCCTGTACAGAGCCCGCTGGCCACGCGAACTTTCCACTACGCCTCCCCCACCGCCTCCCAGCTGTCACTCATGCAGCAAGTGCAGCCCTCGCCTCCCCAGACTCAGCAGCAGCCCCAGCAGCCGCAGACCCCCAGCAGCTCCACGCCCAAAAACGAGGTGCACAAGAGCACCCAGGCCCTGCACAACGCCACCCTGACGCGGGAGGTCAGGCCCCTGTCTGCCTCGCAGCCCTCGCTGCCCCACGAGGTGGCCACGCTCATCTCCAGACCGCACCCCACTGTGGGCGAGTCCCTGGCCTCCATCCCGCAGCCCGTGACCACCGTCCACACCACGGGCCTGCAAGCCGGGGCCAGGGCCACAGTCCCTCAGCGAGTCACCCTCTTCCGACAGATGTCATCGGGGGCCATCCCTCCCAACCGAGGAGTGCCCCCCACACTCCCTCCACCAGCAGCTGCTCTTCAGAGAGATGCTTCTCCTGTCTTAACCACAGACCCAGAGGCAGAGAAGCCACGGTTTGCTTCAAATTTATGATCCCTGCTGATTGTCAAAGCAGAAAGAAAAAAAAAAATACAAATACTGTAATAAACTGAGAACTTTCTCAACTCTTATTTTATTCTATCTCCTGATAGATCCTTATAGCCTACTATGAAAAGATATTTTAGACAGCTCTGGCATACATGCAAAATGTAAAATAAATAAATAAATGAGATATATATATTATACATAATATTAAATATATATATATTTAAATTCCTGAAAGACGTCCAAAACACCTGCTTAGCACCCAGTGTTAAATGTCTTCCTTTCTTCAAATCATTAAAGGATTTAAAATGTTGTTGTAAGATTATTTCTTTTTAACCTCCTTTGACTTAATTCTTTTGATATATGTATTTCTCTATTTTATGAAGAATTCTTGGAGTCACTAGAAACAAAACTCTTATTCAAAACAAAACAAAGCAATTCAAGCATACTCCTGAATAGCACCAACTAAGACCTTATTTCACTAGCTGTGTCTCTGCATCTAAATTGTTAATTAAGAATTACGAGCAAATCCCATTTTCCAGATCTAAACTGTAGTTGGGTGCTTTCAGTTTTGAATTCGGTTTCAGGACACACGGCATGCTTGGTGACGGTAGGAAGCCAAGTATTGCTACTGGTCGGGTTGTCTCTGTCCTCTGACATGTCCATCGATCTTTCAAAAATCTGAGGGGATGTCTGTCTTTTTGTGTTATTGGACTTTTACCAAGACGCAATCTATGTTAGTTGTAAATAACTTTCCAAGCCCAACAAAAATAGCAATTCTGTGTTGTATGGAGGTGAAAGTCATTGTTTAAGAATTTAGTTTTCCTGCTTCACTTCAAAGCTTAGAGTTTTGAATTCTACAAGACCTAATTGTGACAATTACTCAATTGTAATGCAATGGCTTGAAACCTACAATATTATTTTTAACTTGCAATGGTTTATGCGAAATTGTATGCTCGATTCTACAGATTGCTTGTATCACACCAAAATTCATTACTTTTCTTCCTTATTGCCATAATCAAGCATCTGAAAATAGACCCTGCATGCTTTCTGGAAAAAAGAAAAAGAAATAGGTTCAAATCAGTCATTGTAGGGGAAGGCTTACAGTATTTCTCTTTTCTAGAAACTATAAACCGTTGTTAATTGCCTCTCATAAAATTCCTGTAAGGCTGACTTGAATCTCTGACTTAAGTCTAGAAGTGAGGTTTTCACTTTTGTTTGATATTAGTACTTTTATTATTACTATTATTTGGATATTCTGTGTAAACCATGGCTTGATTTGAAGTTGAGAGCATGTTCCGTGTCCTCACTGTAGTCGGTAGTTAACTGTGGTGTTACTTGGAAGAAATAAACACAGTGTAGCATCTTGTCTGTTTGGGAACACACATTTTGCTCTATGTACATTTTCACTAATTGGCTCGTACATCTTAAGGCGTGTGGTGATGAACTGCCCATAGAGACAAGGCTTGTCGTTTTCAACGCCCTAAAAATACTGTGGACACCATGCAAGACAGCCAGGGCAGAATTGAATGTCTGTGAGCTCCGTTGACTTCCTGGCCTCTTTATAGGATCTGTGAGCATACTCTTGTTTCAAAGGGTCCCATTAATGAACTTCTGTGCCTAATGCATCTCACAAATGTGGTGGGTGACCAGAAGACCAGTGGAAGATTCCAAAATGACCACCTTCCGTAAATAGCCCAAGTTAAGGTAGAGGGAACTTCCAAAGCACCTGATACTGACCTAAGACAGACATCACACATAACTGTTCACAGCAGGGCTTTCAGATAGACTGGAAAATAGAAAACAAGAATTGAGTGGGTCCGTGCTACCCGTTATGCCTTTTATCGATGTAATACCAAACGGAGCTGTTTTCATTTCTAACACATCCCAACTTGTATGGAAATAGTCAACGATGCTAGTCGATGTAACATTATTACATGCTGGTGGTGTCTGATAGCAGGTCAGGAATGATGTTAGAATGGGGTGGTTTAGTCTCCCTTAGATTTGTGGTAAAAGCTGCAAGACCATTTATATATCAGTACAAAAAAAATAAAAAATTATTTCAGATACTGAGAAGTAAATTCAGCTTATTAATATCATATATTGATCCTTTACATTATTAAAGGTTTACATTTGATAGGACTAATGGGTTTGGTAGTGAACTATTTTTATATGTATAAAAAAAAACCCCTTTTTTTAATTTTATTTTGAGCACTATTGAGAACTATAAAAAAATTGAATGGCATGGTCTTTCAGTGCAACCATAATGTTTTTATTCCCTTTGTAATAGAATGGACAGAAATATGAAACAAAACAACTAAGGTTTATATGTTAAAAATCAAACGGAACAGGGTAAATGACATATCTATATGTATGAATGTATATAGACATAGATTAAGAGAAGACCTGACTCACATTCCTGTAATGTAAAGGTTTATTGCTGGGTGAAACATGACCTCTTTTCTCTGTACATAGTTAAGCCCATAAATATGGAGTTTTAATCTGTACAGAAAGAAATGTATTACTGCTGCTGGGAAGATAGTAGAATAGCTGAATCTTACAACAACTGTATGATCAGGGATGAGTTTGATTATTTCTTTTGTCTTTGCTCAAAGCCATAAATATATAAATATATATAAAAATTATTAATAAATTCAAAAGAAAACCTAAAATCATGAATATTTTATTTTATTAATGTATTTTAATCAACCTTTCTGTTTTATTAATGAGTACAGATTTACCTTTGTCTTTCTATATTTACATAAGTTATCAAAGAGGGCTTATACTTGAGAATTATTTAAAAATTAATTCTAGTTCCTCTCTAATGGCAGAAAGAGAAGACTTCTGCGAGAATGTGAATTTTTGTCCGTTCTTGTGTTTCACTTCTACACAGTAAAGCTACAATCTATTTTATTCTTTGCCCTCTATCTCCCTGGTAGGTGGGTTTTGTCCAGTTTCAAAACCCAGTAAGTAATTATTTGTGCCTTAACGAGCGACTGTAGGTCACAGGAGGAAGCTAGGTAATACCTTCCTGTGCAGTTTACAGCCTCACAAGACCAGTGGAGGTCCAGCTAAGAACTGGTTCTGAGTTGACACCAGTGAGTTTGGGTGTGATTACTCAAAATGGGGATGAGAGATAATCATGCTGTATTTTACTTTCAGAAGCCTGCTCTGTGAAAGGTGCCAACCTTGTCAAGGTTTAACTATGATAGAATGTCTTCATTCACGTGGGTTTTGAATTAGACCAACAAGTAGAAGATAGAGGTGATGGCCACGAGAATAAACAGCCACGTATGCCCGAGAACAGCGAGAATGCATGGAAGAATGACAGTCCACTAATCATCAAACGTATGGCCTATGGCCAGGTGTCTACGACCAATTCATAAATGAATAATTCCCTGATGAATGCTGCTTCAATTTGGTAAACAAACAAACAAAATAAAAACTCGACCACCCACCTTCCTGCGGTGGAGAGCTGGCCCTCCAGTGGATTTTCAGAGGCGGTTAATCGCACGGCAGGGGACTGCTCATATTTCTCCCACAAAGCAACTGGTGGATTCAAACCACCCACCTTTGGGCTGACAATACAACTTCTCACTAACTAGGTCACCACTTTAAAGAAATCACTTCTTTACAACTTATACTCTTGAGTGGATCTAGTATCTGTAGGATACTATAGAGTACACAGTCAATTTACTAGAATAATTCCTGAATTATTCCCTGTCCCTCTACCCATCGATGATGTAAAAAATATGATACATTTTTAGATGCATTATCCTCAAACTTGAATTATTCTACAGTCTTTCAGAATTGGTTCTCAAATCCCCAAGCTTTTTTTTTGCATATATTTTTATACTTTTTTATTTTCCTGTAACCATACTTCTACAGATCTTATTTCTCATGATCTATAAAATGAAGCTGCTGAATGATTTCTTATCATGTTGTGTCCATCCTTCCAGAACGTGTGTCATAAGACCTACGTGCGGTGTTTTTTATTCACATATGATCACTAAGCAGAGTTCTGTCGTGTGCTCTGTGCTCTGTGTACCCTGACCATTACCAGTGCTACACCAGAATGCGGTCTTTACAGAGTCAGGAAAGGCTAGGCAGCAAGCGCTTTTATTATTATTATTATTATTATTATTATTATTATTATTATTATTATTTGTGTACCGTCAAATCGGATCTGACTGGTACAGGAGGAGATTGTCCCTCCTTTTCCCGGCAGAGCATCTGGTGGATTTGAACCATGCACCTCTGGGATTGCAATGCAGTTTCTTGCCACTAGGCCACCAGAGCTCCCCAGCAAGCGCTTTTTGAGTCCTGGGTCACATATTCAAGGCAGATGTAATTAAAGTTATCTCAATTCTAGAATTATATTCAATGAGTCTCTTTTTTTCAAGGAAAATAGTATGGAACAAAGGATTTCCCCCCACCCCCCCTGTTGTATTCAGGATTAATTCTGTGTACTATACCATGGTCCTCCCAATGTATATATGTCCTCCCTATATGTACCATAGGGAGCTCTGGTGGCCTGGTGGTTAAGAAACTCTTCTACAATCCCAAAGGCGTGCTGTTCAAACCCACCAGCTCTTCTGTGGGAGAAAGATGGACATTCTTCTCCTGTGCGATTACCTGCCTCTGAAAACGCACTGGAGGGTCAGCTATGGGTTGGTTCCAACTCGATGGTGCACAGCAACGAGAACATGGCCCTCACAAAGGAGCTCTGGTAGCCAAGTGGTAAGACGCTGTGCTGCAATCCCGAAGGCATGCAGTTTGCATCCACCAGCTGCTCTGTGGGTAAGGGGGTGTGGAAGGTCAGCTATGAGTGGGTTCTGATTCAATGGCACACAACAGCAACAAGGCCCTCAAAAGCTATGACTTCCTTAAGCAATTGCCTTTTAACAAAAATATCAGCTGCTTCATTAGATTAACAGCAAAGCCAATCAGGAAAATAACTGCTTTTAGAAGGGACAAAGCCTGTGCTCTCTGCTTTGCCTAAACTGATGAAGGATTTCAGAGCAAATCTGATCAATAGGCCCATATTCCTCTCCTTTCCATTTTGGGGTG